TCCTTCTAGTTGCTGTATGTGGGACATGGCCTCAGCATGGCCATAGAAGCGGTGTGTCGGTGTGCGCCCGGGATCCGAACCCGGGCCGCCAGCAGCGGAGCACGCGCACTTAACTGCTAAGCCACGGGGCCGGCCCCCGCTAGTTTCTTTTAATACTGATTGTAAGACCTATCCTGATTTCAGAAGTTAAATGTGAAAAAACTTGGGACTTATTTTTGAAGACATGGTTTCTAAAGTGCTACTTGGAAATAAATGAGGAAGTGATTAATTTTGCCTGGGAGAGGAGATGACATTTGTGTTTGGTCTGGGAAGTTGACTAGGTTTTTCTCAAGGAAATAAGAGGCTAAAATGTATTTCACGCCAAAAGAAACCTCTATTATGGTTCTTATCTGAAGCTATCCTGTCAATATTGCTCCACTCCCCTGAGTCTGTATATTCCACGGTCATGAACCAATTCTATCTCCCAAAATGATCATTTAGCTCATTATTATGTCGTTTAACTTTTATTTATTTATTCATTTCATATTTACTAACATTATTCATACTTATACCTACTGACAAAATAGTATTTCTAGTAGCTCATTGTAAAAAACTTGGTAAATGCAAAGAAGCAAATAAACAAACAAATCCCACACAAATCCACTGTAATTCCACCACTGGAGAAACCACTGTTAATGTATTGGTGTATAGGCTTCAAGGCTTTTTTCTATTCATATGCACATCTATATCTATCTATATGTTTTTAAAGCAAAAATGGTATCATAATATGTTTATTAGTTCATAATTTGCTTTTTTTTCACTTAACCATCATATTAGGAATATTGATCATTGTTTGCCTACCCAGCCTCCCATTGAAGGAAATAATGCCCAGCTCATAGTTTTCTATCCTTAATTGGCTGTATTTCCTGACCACAGCTAATTGAACTAAAGGATTGGCATCTGATCCAAGGGCAGCCCACTTGTGGGCATTCAGAAACATATACATGGGGTGAAGAGATGAGCTGGGCCAATCATATGCCACTGGGTTACGGGAATTGGGCAACTGAGATTATCCTCAAAGGAGCTGATGGTGTAAGGATGTCATGGCCCAAGGCCATGGCAAGCCAAATAGAAGCCAGAGTTGTGACGGAGCAGAAAATATTAGAATTGATGAAGCTGGTTGCCAAAGAGAGGAGGGTAAGAGCAGACCTGTGGAGAAGCAGATATACCCAGAGGGACAGAGCCCTGCCTTCAAGCTTCCGTTAGTCCTGTTTTTTCTTGCTCTAGTTCCAATCCATATATATCTTTATTAGAAATGCCTCCCTTCCAGGCTTTTTTCCTCTAGAGGTAAAACAAGTGGGTCTCCATTCCTTGTAGCCAGGCAAGCCTGACCAGAACCACAAATCATCACTATTATGACTGTATAGCGTTCCATTGTGTGGAGGTGCCATCACTGATTTAAAAACCTAGTGGTGGGCTTTTAAGACATTTCCAATGTGCATCTTCATCACTAATTTTTGCACATTAAAAAATAATTTTGGGGGCTGGCCGGGTGGCGCAAGCGGTTAAGTGTGCATGCTCCACTGTGGCTGCCCCGGGGTTCGCCGGTTCAGATCCCAGGCGCACACCAAGGCACCACTTGTCAGGCCATGCTGTGGCGGCGTCCCATATAAAGTGGAGGAAGATGGGCATGGATGTTAGCCCAGGGTCAGTCTTCCTCAGCAAAAAGAGGAGGATTGGCAGATGTTAGCTCAGGGCCAATCTTCCTCACACACACAAAAAATAATAATAATTTTGTTATGATATATTCTTTTAAAGAAGTGGAATTCTTTGAAAGATTGCTACATAAATGCTAAGTTGGACTTCAGAAAGATTGTATCAATTTACAGCCCAACCAGCAGTGCATGAGAGTGGTTGCTTTTTCAACCCTTTGCCAATAATATCAATTAAAACAAAACATTGCTACTCTGATAGGCAAGAAGTGGTAAGTGGCCAGTTATGATCTTAATGTTCATTTCTCTGAATCTTGTGTTTATTGACCAGGCACGTAGGCTTTGTCACTAGACAAACCTGGGTTTGAGTTCCAGCTCTGCCTCTTGCTGTGTGACCTCAGTTGAGTTAGTTCTCCATTTTCTCATCTGTAAATTGGAGATAATAACAGTTCTTACTCTGTAGGATTATTATGAGGCTCAGATGAGAAAATAAATACAAAACAGTCCAGTAACGCCTCAGTACATTTCAGTTATTATAGTTATGAAGTATGACTTAATTTGTGACCATCAGATAAAGCAATGTGAGCTATCTGAAACTCAATAGGATATTGATTTAAATACCTGTTAGAGGGCCGGCCCCGTGGCTTAGCGGTTAAGTGCTCGCGCTCCGGGCGCACAGCGACGCACCGCTTCTCCGGCCATGCTGAGGCCGAGTCCCACATACAGCAACTGGAAGGATGTGCAACTATGACGTACAACTATCTACTGGGGCTTTGGGGGAAAAATAAATAAATAAAAAAAATTATAAAAAAAAAAATACCTGTTAGAATTGTATGGTCCTAGGAATAAGAAAAAATGCAAGAGGCCAACAGGTTCGTAATCTTTATCGTTAGAGAGAAAATACATTTACATGTTTGGATTCCATCCATTTACACAGGTCTTTAGAATTAAAATAAAAACACAATGTACATATCTTAAAAGCCAAGAAATATAAAATAAAATCAAAAGATAAACTGTGTAGGACTTGCAGATTTCTCAGAGTAGTTAGAGGATGAGGTAATGAGTTTTGAAGACCATGACATAATATAAAAAGGGGCTCAAAATGACAGTTGACGCAGTGAGAAGAATGGCTCTAAAAGTCTGTGCCTCCAGGACTTATGTCTGGTAGAAATGTCTGATCGAAAGTAATCTTAGTTAACTAGGTTGGAAACTGGCTTTCTTAGCAGCTCTGTGTCTTTCAACTCAGAGAAGCTTTAGAATTAAATACAGAAAGGCTTAATGGGGTAAAAACTGTGGGATTAATATGTTGGTGTTAAGAAGAAATATGTGCATATTTCACATTTCATGAACTTGCAATCTTTAAGAAAATTTGGCTTATTAGAGTGACAGCCTTATAATTCATTTTAAATGTATAATTGAGTTAGTTTTAGACTTAAGATTTTGAGTTGAAATCTTACTAAGTTTACACTTGGAACTGGGCTAAGAAAACTTTGGATTCATTATATTTGTACGTTTACTTGATTTATAAGGATTACTAAACTCTGAAAGGTTCTAGATTAGATAACTGAAGAAATTAAAAAGAAAATCTAAGATATTTTTATGGACATAATTTTAAATGTTTGAAGATGTTGGATTAACTAAGTGTGAATGGGACCAAAAATTATTCAAAGTTTCTGAAAAGTGGTAAAATATGCTAGACATAACTAGAATAAAATTTGTAAGCTGAACTTAAAAGCTTAAGAAAGAACTAACTTTTGAATTTGTTGTAAATTAAACCTTTGCCCATTTTTTAATGGGGGTGTTTTGTTCTTATGTTTTTAAGCAACTCACTTTAGTACTCTGAAGGAAGAGTGGATAAATTGAAAACAGCTAGAGCAAAAAACCTGGAGTCAGGTTGTGAAGGGGCTTATTTGGCATGCTAAGGAACTTGGACCATAACCGGAAGGGAGTAATAGGAAAAAATATAAAAAGGAATAACACAACTGCGTTTGCACCTTAGAAAGAACATGCTGTTGACTGTGAGGAGCTAGTTGGCAGAACGGAGAATAGAGATAATGACAATCTGAACTGTGTAATCACAGTGGAGATAGAGACAAAAGCAAGACACTTCAGAAGCAATACCGATTGGATTTAGGGCACGAGGCAAGGAGACTGGCGTGTCCCGGCTGCGAACTGAGCACTTCTGTTAGTAGAGAATATAGCAGGAGCAGGGGCAGTTTCGACACGTTAAATTTGGTGTCTGCGGGATTCAGAGGTGAAAATGTCCATTACACAGCTGAAAATATTGAGTTAGGGCTTCTAGAGGGTCTGGTCTGGAGCTATATATAGTTAGGGCTCTTCAGCAGTTCAAGGTGAGCACAGATCAAGTTACCAAGAGTGGGCAAAGAAGAGGACTGACCGAATTCTGCTGAATACCAACATTTTAGGGGCAGGCCACAAAGTGCAAGAGGAAGAGGCATCCCTAAAAGGGGCAAGGAATCCCCTAAAAAGAAGAACTTAAAGAACATGGCAGGAAATCCAAGGCAAGGAAGTTTGGACAAACACTGTTCTCCTGCTTTAGCACCCACTTCTCAAATACTTGGGGGGTGGAGGAGTCCAAATCTGGCGACTGCTGGCGAATCTGGGAGAGGACTGAAGCCAGACTGCCAGACTGTGAGGTCCCTTATGGCAGTTTGTGTCCTGCTTGTGTCCAGCAAGAACACGCTAGGGCACTTCAACAGACGCCTTCCTTGAGCTCTTTGGCGCAGAGGAGTTTATATGGGCAGGCAGTGGAAGGGGAAGGCCCACGTTTTCTATTTCAAGCAACCGACACCGTTGGCCTTTTTGTCCGAGGCGCGGCCGGGGCGGCGGCCGGGGACGCAAAGGCTCCAGGGCAGGGGCGGACTTTCCCCACCAAGCAGAGCTCGTCGCACCTCGATTGGCAGCCGGGCTCCGCCTCCTTCCTTCCACCTCCCGGGGCCGTGCGCGCGCAGGGCGGGGCCGGGCGGCTCTGCCCCGCCCCCTTCCGCCCGCTCCCGTCAGCGCGGCAGGGTGGGGCCGCTGGG